TTATTTGGAAAAGTTGTTTGTTGCTACTCGAGATGAGAACAACTCCAGCCTGCCTTCAGAGAATCGCTTAACTATATATTCATTTATTTACTTATTATTCTTTTACAGAAAGATTTGGTACTAATAGGGGAAAATAAAAGGCAACTCGTTCTGAGTGCACGGGTTTAAGGTGATAAAGATCGAAGAGCGCAATGGTTTTCTTACATATAAATCTTCAGCCCGGAATTTATAAAATACTTTCGACGATTTTATGTGTTAGTCTTTTTGCTGAAGTGTCAGAAATTATTGATTAGAGCAAATACCAGTTACAAGTAAATCAAACAGTCAAAGAATGTTCGAGTTTAAGTTTAGGACACTAAGGTTTAAAAATTTAAAAAACGCCTCAGGCCTCAAATTGAATTACCCCTCAGGCTCAGCAAGTTTTTGTCTACAAAGTCAAAATTTTCTGAGACAGCAGCGATAATCACTTATTCGCAAGGTTATAGCTTCGTGTATATCAGCGCTTGAATGTGAATTTCATGGACAAGATTTAAAACAGAAAGTAACACGTACAAAAACAGTAGCTCTCTTAGATTGAAAAATATGTCTTGTGGTAAATCTTGGATCTTATTGCTTTTCAAAAACCTGCAAAATACAGCGTGAGTCATTAAAAAAAAACAATGGCTCTTTGAAATATTTAACAGTCATAGAATGACGTTGAGTATGATATCCGTCTAAAATATTTAGAAGTTCTAGGCATAATTACAAGAATTGCAGGTTTGGTAATTGAGAGAATATCCCTGGTGGCAGAACTCTGATATCATTCGATTCAAGACTCCTGCAATAAAAAATGAATAAATGAATAGCAATAACGATAACAATTATAACAATAAATAATAATAGTAATAATAATAATGATAATAATAATAATAATGTATCTGCAAAGTATAGAATGTGCGGAGAAAGTGATGAGACAATTAGTCATATCGTATTGGAATGCAAGAAACTTGCTAAGTGACAAAAAAATAAAGTAGAATGTGAAAAACCTTTCGTGTAGAATTAATGACCTCCTCATTTCTTATCTAGTCTCCAATCAGAGAAGAGAACCTTCTTCAGGGGCTGAAGAAGGTAAGAAAATAAAACTAAAAGTTCGTTGCAAATAAGAATTTGAAAATGTGACAATAAAAACAATTGATTGTTATTGTTATAACGAACTTTTAGTTTTATTTTCTTTTAGCCCCTGAAAAGGGTTGTTTTCAAACCGAAATATTGGGCAATTTGTTTAAATATGTATTTTTTGTTTTATTCTTTTGTTTACTTCATCATCGCCTTGCCGTAAGGATCAATTTGCCCTTTCTAATTTTTCTACAAGTTTAATTGTACTGATCCAGGTCTACAACTGGGAGATCCGGCACCACTCAT